TGTGGTGGTGCGGGGTGGGGGGGGTGGTGATGGTGTAGGTGCACCCTAGGGGGGTGGGATGCCGGTGGTGCACGTCCCGGGAGAGGAGGCGGGAAGTGGTGGTGGTTGCTAGTGTATCTCTGCCTCCAGATCTGTCTGGTTTTCCGCCAACTCACTGACACCACTGGTTGGCAGGAGCTGAGTGTCCTTCTCAGTTCCTGGCAACCCATGATGTCAGTGAACTGGGTGAGATGCCGCAAAGAGCGATTTACATTACGGAGTGGGTGTTTCCACTTTGACATCGGCACACATAGCGGGGTTTCAGATATACCTTTGGCTCCAGCTCCGGGCAGCATCCTGCCCAGCTCACTGTTGTCACTGGTTGCCAGGAGCTGGGTGAGATGCCAGCCAGAGCATCCCGTTCAGCTCCTGACAACCAGTGACAACAGTGAGCTGGTTGGGACACAGGCTAGAGCATCACAGGTTGCTAAGAGCTCTTAGCAATCTGGGACGCTCTGGCCGGAAAGGCCCCCCCCCCCCCCAAAAAAAAACCTTATTTATAGTGATGGCCCTGGCTTTAAGTGTCCTAAAAGAAGAAGGAAAATGCTTATATAATAATATAGGAGATGCTTATAATAAGCAAGTCATAATGGTTCCTTCACAGGATTCTGGCCAAGTGCGCAGGAAAAATTAAATATGGAATCTGATTGATAGCTGAAGGGAACAAAATAACAAAATTGGTTCTTCCTTTAAACACTTTGATAAATTAGACCCAGTATGATTCTATTCTTTTACATTATTCTATGTTACATTTTTACTTTTCTCAATTCTCGTGTCTAGGTACGGTGTGTGCCTAATTGGAGTTTGCCGGGAAGATAAAGCCAACATTTTCCTGAATCCAGGTCCTTGCCATATAATGTCAACTACAGATACATGTTTCTACATCAACATATCAAAAGAGGAGAACTCGGCCTTCAGTTTTAAAGAACACGAGCACATGCAAAGATCAGGAGCACCCAAATCTGCTTACCATGGCCTGACCAGGCTTCCAGTACACAGCATTATAGCCAGCATGGGTATGTTGTATGTGTTTGGGGAGGGGGGAGTCATTGTGATTCCTGAGCTAATATTTATCATACCTTCCAAAGTGCCAAACTATTTAAACCCCTGGCGCCTAATCTGCAGCTCAAGGGCCACATTCAGCCCTTTGGTGTTTGAAGTGCAGCCCTTGGGCCTCAGCAGTCATTAGAGGGAGTATTGCTTTGTAAAGTGGTCTTGACTAATGTAGAACTGATGTCCCAATTCCCTTGATACAAAGAACGACCAACCTCCCCTCTTCAACCCAATAAAACCAGACCACACTTTTGATGGAGTAGCAGCCTTTTTATTATACAAAAATAATAATAATAATAAACTTAACAGAACTGAAAATTAAGCATGAGATTTGTTAAGGTCTTTTGAAGCACCAAATTATTAACAGATATGCTGTCTCTGTGGAACCCCTTCAATCTGTTAGGCCATCAGCTGCACCACACCGCCTCGGGACAACCTGCACATTGACCGTAGACACAGCCATATCTCAATTGCCTGTTTCACTACCATATATCACCATGACCTGAGGACCCATACCAAGACAGGTCCCCAAACATTAACCACCATCACCTATGTTCTCCGCCTTCAAAAGACCCCAAAAACGGCAACACTGCTATGACAGTATACTGACCACAAACACCAATTTACAGGGTGGGTGGGAGGTTCTCTTTTCATCCGACGATCTTCGACTAAATCCAGTGAGATCCGCCTTCTCAGACCACCACAAAGGCTCCGCCCGAACTATGAACCTGACCAGTTAGGTAAGTGAGCTTGCCCTGTTGACCATCCCTTAATTAACTCTTTATTCCTTGTTTCCCCTTTTCACTTACCCATGTACACCCTCCACCTATTTTTTTTTTTCCTTCGGACCTAACTTTAATAGCAGTAATTTGTAGTAATTTCATGTAACAGTCTCCTATACAATGATTTCAGTCTCCAACAACTCATGTAGAACAATCTTACTGTTTCCTCTTGTAATTCTTCAGTCCATGACAGTTTTACTGAAGCATTATGTATAATAAATATTACATGCAGCCCTTCGTAGACATCAGTGGTCACATCTGAGACTCCCTTTACTTTGTAAGTTGATCACCATTGGTTTAAAGTGTACCTGTCTTTAGATTAAAAAAAAGTGGAGCTAATCATGCATTCTATTAGAACATAATGAAAACTTCCCGAAAGATCTAATCTAACCAAGCCCTTACATAAGTAAAGAAAATAGGATTACCAGCAGTAAATCTGTAAAGGTAACACAGCTGGGCTTATTTACCTAAAGCAAAGGTAAACCTTAAAAAGATCAAACTTGCCAACAAGTAGGTCTTTTGGGAGAAGAGAATTTAATTTATAAATCTCTTCTGCAAAAAAACCCCTTTTACTTGGAGCCAAGGTACCAGTGTGCCTGCCCAATGGGCAAAGCCAAAAGACGGCGGACTCAGAATAAAAGGAAACATGGCGCTGGTGGAGATGGAGTGGATGGAGGGGGGATCTTGGATCGCACATCGCTGGAGGAGAACAGAGCCAGAGGTAAGTGTGTCATAATGTGCGAGTATGCTGTGTATACTTGCACATTATGGCAAATGCTTCACCCACCGCCCCCCATTATGGTTTATTTATGCCACAAAGTAAGGAAAGCACTCAAACTCTAGCAGTCATATTATCAGTGCAGGTTGGGAAGTTAAAGCTAATTACTTGTTCACTAAAGCAGATACAGTGTTGCACAGCACAGAATAGTAGATAGGTTAGTAGGTTGGTGAGGGACATATTTGGGTAGAATTAAAGCTGAAGTTTAATATTGTCCCCGTGAATATCATAAACTAGTGTGAAGCAATGTTTAATTTTCTTAGGAATCATTCTGAGAGATTTGTCCTATTTTATACCTTCTCATCGACTCTTGAAAAGCACATGGCAGACTTGCACAAAGCCCTCCATTTACACAGCCTCCTTTCTTTTATAGGCACAGTGGCCATCGATCTTCAGGGGTCAAGAAGCCCAGAGAGTGTTGATGGCAACCTGCTAAGCCCACCAGCCGACTCCACTCATAAGAGAAAACACAGCATTGATCCTGTGCCTGACCTTATTGATGGTGATACCAACACATCCTTCGACCTGTTGAGTGACCAGTCCGAGGATGAGATCAGTCAGTCAGATGAAGAGCTGGGCTCTTACAATGAGTAAGCGGAATTTTCTGTGGAATTTTCTGTGGAATTTTGATGAACTGCAAATATTTTTTCCCTTATGGCTCCATGAACTAAAATCAGAATCCTCAGGTGCCTATATGTACCGTCCAATACCTTCCAGCAGCAACAATTTCTGGTCACAATCAGTATTTCAGCCCTTCTATTATTTATCCATCTAAGCAAGGCTGGTAACACAGCTTCGTGCCAGCGCTGGAGTTTAGGCCCACTGAAAAAAATAAATATAGCTGGAGTACTGGTCAGTTGCCATAAAAAGCACCTGTACTTGCCTCCATTCTTTCCATATGTTCTCCATGTTTGTATCACTGACCACAGGGTAAAGCCAAAGTTCACCTTTGAAAGAAAATTGCCCCATTAGTAAAAAAAAAAACTCTGCAGCTTTTAAAAAGGTTGGCTACTGTAATTGCTATACCTGTAGGCCATGTGCTGCCCCCTTCCCCCACTATAGTCTGCCTGGAAAACTCCTATAGATAGCTTTGCCCCAACCTATTGCTAGATGCACCCGCCATTGGACGCTTGTCCCCAGCTGAGATCAGTGATGCTGCAACAGGGGGAGAGAGAGCTCACTTTCATGCATAGGGTTTTGAACGAGGCGAGCGCTCGCTCCTGTGATGTTGGGGGTGCGCTCCCAATGGCTGAAGTGTCCAAGCAACAGGACAGGATCGGGCAAAGGTAATTGTCAGCGTTTTTTGTCCAGGCTTTTGGGGGTGGGGGTGCACAAATGGCCTTCAGGTATGGCAACTACTGTGCATTAGCAACATTTTTTTTAAAAATTACACTTTTTGTTTTACCTGCTAGGGCCCCTTGAGTGCATACGTCATTTTCTTGCAAAAGTGAACTTAGCTTTAACTGTGAGAGCCAATTCACAGAAGAAAGCAGTGTGCTGTGACGCACTTATTTCCATGCGTTGACGCGCCTATTTAAAATGAATGAGCTGTAATGCACCTCAATGCGCGACAATCAGGGGCAGGTTGCATTTTTTTACAACGCAATCTACAGGCTACTGTGTGTTGTTCTGCAGTGTGCAGAAATCCCAACTCTCCCGGACGCTCCGGGAGACTCCCGCTATTAGATAGCGGCTCCCGGCCGCCCGGGAGAAAAACACTTCCTCCCGGAAAGGATCGTTTCCCTGCGATCGTTTTTTTTTTTTCTTTCCTTACATTGGGAGCCGCGGCCCGACCGTCAGTCAGAAAAGAAAAAAAAAAGGCATACGAATGCACAGCTAGATTCCTATTGGCTATTGCACTTTGCAATAGCAAACTAGCTAATGCACCCGCCCACTGCTGCTGTCAATCAGCAGAGGGGGACCTGAATTTTTCTATCAGGTCCTCTTCTGGTGATTGAAAGCAGCAGAGGGTGGGTGCAATAGCTAGTTTGCTATTGGCTATTGCAAGGTGCAATAGCCAATAGGAATCTAGCTGTGCATTCTTATGCCTTTTTTTTTTAATTATTCTGACGACTGCAACTGTCAGAATACTAAAAGAAAATTTTAAAAAAAGCCTGCAGATAGCAAAGAAGCTATTGCTTCCTGTGCTATCTGCCATTATTTCAGGGGGGGTGCTCTCTCCCAGCCCCCCCTAACCCTCCCTCCGCGGATGGGGGGGGGAGAGGGCACCTCCTTGAAATGAGAGGGACACCTCCCTGAAATTGCTTCTTTCAGGTTGGGATCCCTGAGTGTGTGTCAGTTCTGAAGGTGTGCTGGGGTGCTTAAAACAATAAAAAGCACTGCAGCACACCAACACATGTAACGTGTTGCTGCCAGCTGTGCTAACACTGACAGGTCCAATATTGTGACTGAGTCCCCAAAATGACCTCCTCCACCAAAACTGCTTGTGCTGCTTTATTGATTACACCTAATAGTCTCATTACACAGATTATTCTCACTCTTCTCTTTCAGCTGGGTAAAGGGCTATCCCTCTAACACACCCTACATTGGCAGCTCCCCCACTTTATGTCACTTACTCCAGCAAAAAAGTCAGTACTGCTGCCTGCGACTTGATAAGGTAATCTAGGCTCTGAATATGTATTATATATACTGTATACTGTACATATATGTATTTCATTGCATCTTATAATTTAGCTTTTTATATGGTTGAATCAGTGGTGTTGGGACATAGAATATAGAACGATAATGCACTACTGTATCATTAAGGGTTGGAGTGGTTGCATTTGATGACAACCCTAATCCTCTGTAAAGTCTACAGTGTAGAAAAGCTGAGGTCAGATGCACAGAAGGAGTCTATAGGATCTTGGTGTCATCAGTCACGGCTCAGAGAGAGGTTGTCAGGGTCGCCCCTGGGTTTAAATCTTACTTTATGTCATCTATAAACCAGGGATTGGTATGTTACTCACATTCTTGCTCTAGAGGAACTTCCAAAGGTCCTTCCAGGGCCCACTACATCTCACAGTTAATAATATAATTTACACACAAATGCTGCACACAGCATAATAAACTTGTGAGCATGAAAGCCATAATGGTTCATCAACTGTAGGGAAAGGAGGAAACAATCAGAATCAGAGCTGTGACAATGGGCCTGGTTGCAGTTTCTGCACCTGCTGTCCCACTAAGAAATTAGACAATTGTAGCGGCCAAAGGCATTGCCATGATTGGTTTGTTAGACGGCTGCTGGAATGGCAGCAGCAGAACCAATCATGGATTTTTTTCATAGTGAGCCTAGGATTAGGCCCACAATAGGCACCTTGCTGATTGGTAAATGTTCTTTCAGGCACTTTGTTTTGCATGCTTTTAAAGTGTTTTCTATATAAACTGTCAATATGACTGAGCAGCAGCAAGAACTATTTAAGTCTTGGAAAAGTTCTTCAGGGAAGCTCCCTATCTTGGGCATTGTGTTAAAGGAGAACTATGGGGTCAGTGCTTTCCCCATAGTTCTCCTAAGGGTAACGTGGGGAAACAACTAGCTAAAGCTCGCGGTATACTGAGACGCCGCAGCTGGGACGGATCCCGACAATACTGTCTGGATCCACCCAGCTGCGTGAGTGACAGCTCTCTCTGCCTATCTAGAGGCAGAGCCAGCTGTGCCCGCCCCCTCCCCAGTCCACTCCGCCAGTCAGCGCTGGAGGATCGGACAGGGGAGGGGGGAAATCCTTGCAGGGAGCCGTGAGTGACAGTCACGGCTCTCTGCAGGCACAGGATCGAGAAGTGAGCGAGCGACGGTATGTGTTCGCTCACTACCCGATCTATTGAGCCGACGTGTGACAGTTTAATTGTTACATGTCGGCTCGAACTATGAGGCTGAGTGATTTTCACTCGCCTCATACTTCTCCTTTAACATACCATAGGCTTGCATTTCTCTTGACCAAAACCCTTCTCCACTGAAGCTAAGGTCTGTTCTGGCCATTCAAGAGTATAATGCCAGGACCATGTTGTCTCCCCCTTTTTTTATTACAGTACAGGTACTCTTTATGTTACATTAAGTGAACCTTTTTGAATAGCATTACCAATTCATGGACTCATTTCCCCGACGGCCTGCACTGCTCATAAATTCAAATAAATCTTATAAATACTCCAACAACCTATTCCATTTATTGTGTTCTAATGCAATGTTAGAAGCTATGCTTGTACAGTACAAACATGAAGGTAATGTCACTTCCTGTCTTTTTTTGAAGGGTTGCCACCATTTCCCCTACGAAGATGCACGGGCATACGGCTTCAAGAACGCCTTGGTAATTGTATCGGCAGAGCGAGCAGGAAATGGGTTATATAACTTCATTGTTCCTCTCCGAGCGTACTACAGACCCAAGAAGGAACTGAGCCCTATCATTCTTCTCCTGGAAAACCCGTGAGGACCAGCTGGCTATTTACAATATCCTGCGTTTATTTGATGCATGTATTTAATTCTTTGTACATCTTACAGACCTGATATTGTAAGGGATATCAGACTTTATCTTATTTCTGTGTAGACTGTTGTAGTATCTATTGTTCCTAGCTGTCAGAGTAGCTGGTACCTTGAGAGTACCTTATGCTCTAAGAGTAGACACCACAAGGTGGCTGCAAATACCCACAGTTTCCAGCCACTAGAGTTGTATGTGCACTGGGAATCCTTGAACCTGTGATAATCCCCTATATCAGCCTCAACTTCATCTCCAATTCCAGACGACAGGGTTTTAATTTTTTTACATTTTGTGTTTATTATTGGTTTAATTTTTTTTATTTCTTTTTATTTTTTTATTAAATTTTTTTTACTTTTTTTAAAATTGTTATTTATCTTATCGTTTACTTTTTAAAAAAATGTATAATTTTTTTATTTATGATTTTTTTACTTTTTTAGCACTTCTTTTTTTTATTTTAAATATTATTTTTTACTTTAGTTTTTAAATTTTTTTATTTATTTTTTACTTTTTATCAATTTAAATTTTTTAATTATTTTTTTCACTTAATTTTATTGCTATCACACAGGAGCTAACAAGCCCTCTTTAAACTTCAAAGTTCTTTTTATTGAACCTGTCACCTCCAATACAGGAGTTCTAGCACAGTACTGTGCTGGATCTCCTGTGACAGCTGAGATAGGAAGGCTGCGAGTGCAGCTCTCCCCTACCACTCTCTACACTGCCCCTTGCTCTTCATCCTGAAGTGACTGTCATGGCCCTGGGTCCCTCAGAAGAGTGGGGGACCTCGAAAACCAGGGTGGGGACAAAGACAGCCACGTGAGGTGGGAGGGGACCATGGAGGGGTGGGCGCAGGAGGAGAAGGACCTGCAGGCTACGTACATGTTATCTCGGTGACATCACCATGATCACTTGTACAAAACAAGCGACTGTACATTTAGCCCTGCTTGCCCAAAGCAGGACAAAGTGTAGAAAAAAACTACCAGCCCAGGCCTCTGCTCCCTGTGGCCCCAAGGCCAGGCCTCGGTGGCCTTGTGGGAAGTCTGGCCCCGTCCTTAGATATGATGGGCTGCCTCAGTAACCGATAATTATCTTTGGGATGGGGCCTAGATGCTGACATTTCTTCCTTTCAGTTGGTATTTGCAAAAAACATTTGTTGTAAAGTAGTCACCGCTCCGAGCTCACTCCTGTGCTGGACTGTAATCTCAATACAAATTAGTAAACTAAACATGAGATTGTAGTCCATCACAGGAGTGAGCTTGGAGCAGTGACTACTTTACACACACAGGGACCATGGGGAACAAAAGTAGCCTCCCTCCAGAAGGAAGGAGAGTGTCAGCACCAATTCAGAGATGATTTGAGGATCTACAGCCGAGTGATACACAAATAAGATACATTTTTATTAATAGGTAAGGTACTTAAGGATGCATTGAATGGTACAGTACATGCAGACACCCATATGTGTTTCAATGTTGCACTTTTTTTCAAAAGAATGGTTTGCTTTAACCTTGACCTAAGGCAATGTAGGCAGCATCTGACATTCACAAGAGCTCTTTTTCTAGAAGTAAGAGTAAATTGGATTACTGAGCATGCATATTTGTGCCTATAGAACAGACAGGAGAAACCATCATAGCTGGCTTGTCTTTGACTGAACAATGGCAATCAAAGAAGTTTTCTTACAGTTGGCTGGCAGTGTCTGCTTGTGCCATACACGGGAGGCTGTTACCTGAAAACAGCTCATATCATACACAGCTTTATTCAGTGCAACCCTGCAAGTCTCATACACCTGAAGTAGGTCTGTCCAATAACAATTGTATAACTCTTTTTTCCAGACCTGATACACAGTTCCTTGAAGCCATCTGTTGGTTTCCTCAGGTCTATTACATGGTGGGATCCATTGACAAGTAAGTATTAAAGAGGATACTTCATACATTATATAATATACTGTAGGTATAATCCCTGCACTGAAAAGAGGATAGGGTTGGATATTTGTCTCAGCTGACTCCATGCTTTTGGTAATAGAGATAAGCATCCCATCCTCTGTCGTCTTGGTTTAAATGGACACTTTATTGTAATAACCAGCTGTTCCTTACTCAACCAAGAATGACCAACACATACCCCACTCACTGTATTGTGCTTGCATGGCAACTCCCAAAGGTTGGATCATTGGTTCAGATGTTTGTTCCTGTGCCCTCTTTGACTTCCCCCCCCACTGCACATTTGCAGCTTTAATGCAGATCACATAAGGGTGAGTGGATATTGTCTTCAGGAAACACTGAAACCGCTTTCTACCCATCCCCTCTAACAATCTTGTAAAAGGATCTTACAACCACAGTTCCAGGTGAATGGTATAAAATATATAAATGGCTTCCAGAATAATATATTTTGTTATGAAAAAAACAACTTAAATTCTTTTAAAGCAGCAGTAGCCTGACTGGCGCATTTCATCAGAGACTTCATCAAAGGCGGCTGTATGTCAGTTGTGAGAATAAAGGTAACTCTCAGAACAAAAGTCCACCTTTGATGCCGGGACAGGAGGATTGTGGGGAGGAAATTTCTTAATGCCCAACTTGCTGAGTTTTATAAGCATGAAATGGTATTTAGCAGAACACTGACCTGAGTCATTGTTGGAGTCCTCTTCTATTGAGGTCTAGTAAGTTAAAGTTAGTGTTCACAGGTTGGTGGTCTGGTTCAGCACCAGCGATGCTTTAAAACACATCACTTAGAATAGAATGTAAGCATCCTGGTGTCCCCAAAACCTTGAGTACCCTACTCTGTAATGCACATGCTAACCAAGCTGCTAGAGGCACAGGTTCTGGTGCTCACATTCCTACACTTCATTATTGGCCCATTGCTGTGAGTGTGGACTCAGAGTGAAGCACAGGTCAGTGCTCATAACCATAACAGCTTGGTCAATACTTATAACCATGTACCCTGTGTTGGTTATGTGTTTAGATGAAGCACTGAGATCTTGAGGAATGCTGAATTAAGTTTTGGTTGCTTAGAAGGACATTACATGTGAATAGAGCATTGTAGGCAACCTATAGATAGAAAAACTTCCTGTGTATCATATATAAGCATGCATATAGAGAGACTAACATTGCACTACAGCCAGTGGTGTAACAATCACCATAGCGACCCAGGCCGTCGCTATGGGGCCCGGGGCACAGTGGGGCCCGGCCAGATGCCGTGCGGGCCGCCTGGGTCGCTATGGGATCTTCTGCTGCTGGCTTTCACTGGCGTCTGAAGACGAACACGCCGCTGTTCAGATCATCTGTGCAGCGGCGCGTTCGTCTCCACAATCAATGAGAGCCAGCAGCAGCAGGGGAGCAGGCTGGACCCGGTGTTCTAACAACGTCGCGAGCCTCTGACGTCACCGGCAGTGGAGGAGGAGGCGGGCCCGTGCTCGGCAGCAGGGGAGGAGGCGGCCTCGGTGACTAAGAAGGAGGCGGGCCCGGTGACGGAGGAGGTAAGGAGTGCGACCAGCCCACCTGAGGGTGATCCTGCAGAGCCCACCATAGAGACTCTATGGTGGGCTCTGCAGGTTCACCCTCAGGTGGGATCTCGAGTGGGCTCTGCAAGGGGTATAACTAGAAATCACGGGGCCCCATACAAAATTTTGCTACGGGGCCCTGTGATTTCTAGTTACGCCCCTGACTACAGCGCCATCTACAGCTCAAAAGACATAACAGTGTATCAGTTCATTACAATGTCATTAATACAATCAGTATATATCGAGAATATGCTGCTGTAATTCCAACACCCTGGGGTTACTCAGGACAGAGACCTACAGGTACACTTGAAAAAACTGGTTGGTAGAACACTCACTGAGACTTATACTATTCAAAAATGGCATTTACATAAAATCCTTTTCTTTTTATGGAGAACCTTCATTGTAAACATTTCTCAAGGACCCTTGAGTGAAGTTTCTCACTCTATAATCTGTACTCTTGTTAATTAACAGCAAACCCACATTCCTGGCACGAATAAAAATGAAGGATAGAGCGGAATATAAAGCATCCTATAATACCTTAGTATACTTTTTTTTTTCCATCTAATCCCATGCAGAGTGCTGGCAAAGCCTCCCTGAAAGGCAGTGTTTATTGTTTCAGCAACCAATAGCCAGGCTAAAGGATTTACATGTGAAGACAAGGGGGAGACTATCGCATTTTATTCAGGATCTTTAGGACTCCTGTGTTTCTATACGAAGGTTGAGATGATGGTGTGGTACCTTATTGTGCCTTTTATTTTATTTAAAGCGCTGCGCAAACTGTTGGCGCTATATAAATACTATGTAATAATAATAATTTAGCTCTATCCTTTGTTTTTATTTGACGCAGGCGATACAGTTAAACTTTCGCAGCATATACATTACAAAGTCTTTGCACTTTTATATTATTTGAAAACAAGCAGGAATTTCCCTTTATGTCCACAATGCCCTGGGGATGTCACACTAGCATTTACATATTGTGGCTCGGGCAGAAAATACATATGGAGGAAACCAGTTACATCATGTAAGATCAAGAACAATGTCTTATTCCCGTATTATGACATATGTCAGAGTGTTTGATAGCTCGCTGCATGGATTAGTCATCTAGACCTCTGAAAAGTATTTGTCTTGAACCACAATTTTCACATATCTGTAAATTTTACGGATCATAAATGTACGTAGAAGTATAATTTAAAGTGAACCTGTCAGTCATTTTAAACTTTTAAAAGTTCTGTCTACGATCATAAAGCACATCCACATATCACCTTTATTAGCCAGAAAATGCTCCTCAACTGTAACCCTCTGTGCAATGACTGTGCCTCAGTGGACAATAAGGCTGCTGTTATTGGATAGGAGATGGCTGTTGGTGGGACTTAGCCTTGAATCTAGGGAAGAAAGTTCCCCCGGGACAGAGTGAGACTAGTTCCAGAGAGGTCCACGGGTAATACCAGGCATATGTAAGGGAGCTGTTTTACCCGCCAAATGATTTGTATGGATGTCTACCCAGTTCTGAAATTTACACAGCTCAGCTAGAGGCTGCTAGAGATCACTGCTATTGCATCCCTTTTACAAGTCAACACTCCCACATTGGTGCTCCCAACAGCCCCCTTTAAAATTACTTGTCACTATTTGATATCTTTCTCAGCCAGATTTATTTATTTATTATTGGTATTTGTGCAGCGCTGGCAATTTACGCAGCCTTTTACATACTGCACATTTACATCAGTCCCTGTCCCTTAAAACATCAATCAATGAATACATATAGTCACTTTAAACCCTATTATTTTTTTTAAACCTTCATTAGTGCTTAAAGTAACACTAAACTCCTGAGTTAAAGCTTAAATATGCTTTCAAGGAACTTAAAGGAGAATTATGACCTGAGGGCAAATAAAAATACTCCTTGCCTTTTATATATTAGCATTCTTCCTTTTTTCTGAAGTCACAACACATCACAGATAAAGTCATCAAAACCCACAGGAAACGGCCACCTCCAGCCCGGCTCCCAGCTCCTTTCCTCTTATGGGGCGTTAACAGTTGATCCAGCCCGCCCTCAGCTTTTTTTTTTTAAATTCACCTCCTGCTGTGGCCGCGCTTTCTCTCATCGTGCACAGCTGTGTTTTGTCAGAGCGTGCATGCTGGCATTTGGGAGCGGGAGGCGGAGTCTCAAGTGAAAAGGCAGCAGCAATAGATGGTTAGAAGTGAACTGCTGACTCAACCTCCCTGCACTTTCAGTGCTCTTTCCCTTCCCTCATCAGCGATCTGGATGTCAGCATGACACAGGGCAGCGGGAGAGAGAGAGGGGGGAAAGAGCCCTCTCTCTCTCTCTTCATAATTTACCACATATGAGCAAGTCCATATATGGTGAATTATCATGTCACTGGGGATCCCTGCTGATCGGATGCTTGCCAGTCTGCAGGGATCCCCAGTGACATCATTCAAGTGAGATAACCCTCTACAATTGGCTACCGCTGCCCACCTGTAGGTAACGAGAAGTTCTTGAGCCTCTGAAAAGTGGGAGTATGGGTCTGTAAGAACACTTTACTTGCCACTGAGCACACCCTACTGGCAAAAATGAGTAACTACTCATAACCTGAAAAATATACTGTAGATACAGAAGAACTCTAGAGGTACCATCCCTACATTCTCCCCATGCTTAAAGGATCTTGGACCTCCACAGATACAATACCAGCATACTCCAAAAAAAAACTCAAATTTGCAAAAATTCTGAAAAAAACCCATCCATAAGAATGGGGGGAATGCCAAGGTCAGATAAGAGAAATGTAAAGGCATTTAGTTATAGTAAGGTAAAGCTTTACACATCAGTATAATTTGACATCCCTCATATGCATTCCTATAAACTTATTGCTAACTAACTAACAATAACAAAGTAATAGTAGTAGCCACCCTCCAGAAGGAAGGACAGTCAGTCAGTACCAATTCAGAGATGATTTGAGGATCTACAGCTGAGTGATACACAAATAAGAGACATTTTTGTTAATAATTAAGGTACCTGAATATATTTTTAAGGTTTTGTGAGTTTAGTTTCACTTTAAGTTAGGTTCGTATAACATCTTAAAAGTTATAGAACAAGTCCAGTCATATTTGTGTTTTTACTATGCAGCGCGTACGCTAATAAACAGACGCACTTAATCAGCTATTGGAGTGCCGGTGTCCATGCTTTTCTTCAGTGTCCTATACCATGCTACCAATCTTTACAATGCTGGCGAATTCTTACAGCATTGGGACGCTGTCAACAAGATGAAACTAATCACATTGAAATACATATTTACAACTGTTCTATAAAGTAAAACATGTGACGTGCAGTGACAAGCACCTTCACATATTGGTGTTATCAATGAAGAGGTTTATCCATTTTGATTGTATTAGTACTTTTCTTTCCCTTTTATAGACTCGCATCATTTGGATATACAAATGAGATAAAAAAAAAAAAAGATCAGTGATATATGTTTCTATCATATGTACTGTGTATTCTCTGACCATCATGATATTATTCTCTTTGCAGTCTAGATGACATGCTGCGCTGTGGAGTAAGCTATGCTGCACACATGGTGGTGGTCGGAGAAGAGAACTCAATGATCGCAGAGGAGGATTACATGGCTGATGCACGAACCATCGTCAATGTACAGACTCTCTTCAGGTAGGACAGTACTTTTAAAATCCTAATTTCTATTTACACTGGAAATGTGGACAGATATGAGAGTGTAGTTGCACCATCCTAATTTGTTGGGATATAACAATACTATACTTACGCAAACCTTTTAATGCCGTCAGTGGGTAGACTCACTCTCCCTGTTTGTTCTGTGACCACTGTCCCTAGGAGAGAAAATAAATAAATGGAATGCAATGAATGGTAATACCACGATGTTATAGTTGTCACCAGAACAGAAGCTATAATGCAGTTCTGCACAGGCTATGGACTTAAACTATTTATATATTCCTAACAAACAATAAAAGAGCTTAAAGCCCATTTCCACCTTTGCAGAGGTGTGTCTAAAAAACATATTTTTTGTGTTAGCTTTCCTCTTCATATCCTCATGTAAACGGCGCCTCTGTGCTGTACAAGCAATGTGTGTATATTACAAATAAGCTCTCTCTCTGTGAGTTCTCCACTCCCCCCCTCCCCCAAATCATTAGTATTCACATAGTTGCATCCCCCCTGGACAGTGTATTGTGTCTAAAGGCAAGGCAGACCTGGTGTTTAGTGATCGTGTTACAATGAGTAACAGGAAGGATGGCAGCTTTTTACAGCCTTTACAATCCGACCCCGGTGTCAGACTGAATTTGATGTGGAGAAAATTTAGAATTTCTAAGAATTCAGGTCTAATAAAAACATCATCGCTGCACCTCTTCATTACCACAAAAAAAGCGAATCACTTACAAAGGTGTAAATGGACTTTAAAACAAGCCTTTGCTGACATCTCTAGCTGCAGGTACTGTCAAATAATCCAGTCTCAAAGGTCCTCCATTAAAAAAAAGACTCTAAGGTTGGGTTTCAGTACGTTTTCAACTTCTCAACCTTTTTTTAATATGGAAGAACCCTTAAAATAATGTTCTGGTTTCAGGAAACATCTGGTAAAAATTTCTATATCTATAGCTCACGGTACATTAGTGTGATGGTCAGTGGGAAGAATGCTCCTTACATTGGTAGTCAGTGGGAAGAATTCCCCTTACTTATAGCTAAAAACATAATTTGTGTTATTGGTTACTTATCTCAAAAATTGCTCATTGCTCAAACCCCATGCAACCTCTAGTAGAACCCTAGGGTTGAGAAAGGCTGGCATAGAAACACCTGCTGTGTGTTCACATTAGATGGCTAGCAGGCCAAGAAAAGATAAGATTGCTGAAACTATGTTAAAACCTTCATAGCTGAAATAAACCTGTAAATAAGGAGAGTGCCTTCTCTCCATACTCTCATATTATTGGCCCCAGCCCAAAGGTAATTGAAGTCATAGAATATGCTGTATTTCCAATTTTCCCTCTCTGTACAGTAAATTTAGTATACAGTTTTGTCTCACTTTTCCCTTCAGGCTTTTTCCAGGATTAAACATCATTACAGAATTGACGCATCCAGCAAATATGAGATTCATGCAGTTCAAGGCCAAAGATAAATACTCAGTGGTGCTGTCTAAGCTGGAGAAGGTACACACTGTGACTCTCTCTTTACTCATGTCTGACTGTCTCCCTAAAGTCTGTCTCCTCCCTGTGTCTTCTGCTCCTCTTCCTAATCACTCCCTCAAAGCTCTGTCCTCTCGCAGAGGGAGCGTGAGCGGGGATCTAATCTGGTCTTCATGTTCAGACTGCCGTTTGCTGCTGGGAAAGTCTTCAGTGTCAGCATGCTGGATACGCTCCTATACCAGGTACCTTACCCCTGAGCTTTCCTGTTATTCCACAGATACCCATCTTACAATTACATTAATTTCTGTGCATAACATATCTGTGACTATAACACTTTATGTAGCTCCTCATATTGTTCCATAAACCTCATGGCTGTCATAAATTGCAGGGCTCCTTGTGGCCTGATATCTTAGGGTCCCTTCAGATTGCAGAAAAGCTCTTCTCAGGTAGCTGAAGCATTTCCATTGTTGGGATAAAGATCACCTTTCTCCACCCCCATTACCCACCACATATGTCCAATCTCATAACCATCACATATCTTGTCACCATGGTCAACACACATTTTCACCCCCATTACCATCACATGACTCCACTCCCATTACTACCGCATATCTCTTCCCCCATTACCATTACATATCTCTATCCCCATTACCATTACATATCTCTATCCCCATTACCATTACATATCTCTATCCCCATTACCATTACATATCTCCATCCCCATTACCATTACGTATCTCCATCCTCATTACCATCACATATCTCCACTCCCATTACCACCACATATCTCTTGTCCTATTGCCATCACATATTTCTCCATTCCTATTACCACCACATAACTCCTCACCCATTACCATTAAATATCTTCACACCCTTTACCACAACATTCTGTATCTTCTCACCCATTACATTTGTATATCTCTACCCACATGACCACCAAATGTATCCACCCCAAATCTCCACCCCCATTATCACCACATTTCTTGTGGGCATTCGCCGCCATTACCATCACATATTGTATCTCCACTGCCACTACCACCACATATCTCATAACAACCACATATCTCCACCCCCTAATCACCAACAACTCCACTGCCATTACCACCACCCCTATTACTACAACATATATCCACCTCATTACCACCACATACCACCACCCACATTATCCCCACAGTCTACAAAAATACCTTCCTTTCTGTGTAGAAAAACCTTTCTCAATGTTAAAGGGACACCTAAGTATGAGAAAGTCTCCACTATTTATCTGCAGAACCCTTTGCATCCCAGTTCATCAAAATACTAACTGTGCAGAACACACAGAAGGCAGATTATTATTATGTATGTTTCCCCTGCTATATGACCCTAGAGACAAGTAATCATGTATGTCCCATGGTGTACAAACAATGGCCTTCAAAAGGACTGCCTGCTTTGTTGTTCCTTCTCTCAGGACTGCAATACCTCCTGATGACAGCCATGATACGATTTCTTCCTATAGCTTCCTTGTAACCATCCTTTTTGTATTAATCCTGTGTATTTTTCTGTAGCTTCCTCCTATAACCCTACTCTCACTCCCTCTCTCCCCTGTATGACACAGTCCTTTGTTAAGGATTACATGATCTCCATCACACGTCTTTTACTGGGTCTGGATTCAATGCCGGGTTCTGGATTCCTATGTGCTGTAAGTTCATTTTCTGATCTGCTCCAGTCTTCTAATTTTTGGATTGAGCATTACAATCATACAATCGCTTCATGGGAACATAGCACGTTAGACACTAAGACAAGCTTAACACATCCAAATAAATGCCCTGTTCAGTACCATGATAAACTACCTTAATTCCTAAAAAACAGCTCACATGAAGTATATATACAATATGGCCAACACACCTGACCACCACGCCTACCTTTATAGCCAAAAGAATGTGAACATCCCTGCAAATGATTGAGTTCAGGGGTTTCCATTGAAGGGTACAGTTAATGGTACAGCATATAAATATGGTTTAGATCACTGTGCACTTCCAGTTGTAGCACTTTGGGGACGTTTTTGTTCCAGCATGACTGTGACCGTGTACAGAAAGCTAGCTCTATAATGACATGGTTTGATGAGTTTGGTGTGGAGGAACTGGAGTGGTCTGTACGGAGCCCTGACCTCAACCCTACTAGTCACCTGTGCAATGAATTGGAACACCAGTTGCAAGCCAGGTGTTCATGTCCACCATCAGTACCTGACCTCACAGCCATGTTGGCTGAATGCACAAAGGTTCCCACAGAGACCTCCAAAGTCATGTGGAAACCCTTTCCAGATGAGTGGAGGATGTTATAGCCCCAAAGCGGACCGACTCCATATGAATGCCCAAGGTTTAGTATTGGGATGCCCAACCAGCTCATATACGTGCAATGGTCAGATGTTCACAAACGTTTGACTATATGTTCCAAGATCATATGTTGACCATATTAGGGATGCACCAATACTCATACTCGCCAAAATGCTCCCGATGCCTATCCCCATACCGGAAATTCCAGTATCAGGAAGCCGAGCAGTGAATTATTACACGCTGCCCGGCTTCCTGATTGGCCGGGAAGCTGGCTCCATCTTCCCTCATCACCAGGGAGAATGGAGCTGGCTTCCTGGTCAATCAGGAGGCTGGGTGGCATGTAATGACTCGCTGACCAGCTTCTTCGGGAAGCTGGCCAATCAGCAAGTCTGGCGGCGAGTCATTACCCACCCCCTGGCTTCCTGATTGGCCAGAAAGCTGGCTCCATGCTTCCTTCTTACCTGATGACAAGGGAGCATGGAGACGGCTTATCGGGAAACTGGGCGGTGAGTCATTACACGCCGCGCGGCTTTCCGGCTAATCAGGAAGCCGGGCGCCGAGTCATTACATGCCGCCCGGTTTCCTTAATTGGACTTTCGGTATTGGTATTCGGTATCAGCGAGTACTGAAAAAAAAATATCGGTACTTGTACTCGATACTGAAAAACCAGCATTGGTGCATCCCTAGACCATATGTTCCAAGATTAAAGAAGGAACACACATGGCTCATATATTTGGACGATATTTGTTTAGCCTGGATTTCAACTTTAAGGTTTTAAAAACATTTTTACGTTTGTGTATAGTTTTATAATTTATGTGTACGAGGGGGCAACCATTTTTGTTCATTATACTGTATACTGTATATGCATGCCTAGTGACTAAGCGTCTCTGCTGCTCTCAGTGCAAATCTATCAGTCTAACTGACCCAGACGGAAAACAATACAGTCTCTATAAAGGTGGCCATACATGTAATGATTTGTGATTGATTTAGATACAAGTGATTGCAATCAAATGATCCATCATCAATTAAAATAACATTGCAACACACAATATTGTTCTTTTATTTTGTGATCAACTGCAACTATGATTTCTCAATTTAAAATGTAAACAGTCTATTAAAATGATCACTTAATGGATCTAAATTGCGATCAGTTCATGTAGATGTTTAAAGGGTAATTCACAAAGCTGCCAAAGGATCCAGCCGTAGCTTCGGCTGATCCTTCAGCTCTCTTCGGCCGCCGGAGCCTTCTGGTTCAGTCAAACCGAAGGGCTGCGCTGTACGGGCTATTCACTATAGCCTGTACAGCAGCCAAAGGCGGCCGAGTGGCTCAGCCGAGCCGAAGTGACAGCCGGAGGCGGGCGAACGGTTTGCCAGCTTCTCACTGCTAGCTCCGCCCAATTGTTTTTTTTTTTATTATAATTTTTTCTTATTTAAACAATCTTTATGTATTTTTAAACTTTACTATTTATTTTAAAAAAATTCAACCTTTTTTTTTTTGGACAGTTTTCATTGATTTTCTATTCTGCTAGGTATCACGGAGGTACCTGGCAGAATAGCTGAGCGCATTATACTATTCACTCACTGCCATTTGGCCCCTATGTGAATACGGCAGCGAGTGAGCTGCTGGAGCTTCAGCTCAGCCTACCCAGATGTTGGATCGGCCGAGTCGAAGTTCTTCTGCACTTCGGCCAAAGTGCAGCCGATGTACGGCTGAAATCAGCCGTACTGAGCTGGAGTGAATAGCCGAACGTAGTTCTGCTCACTTCACTTCGGCTGGGTTATTCACTCGGCTGCCTTCGTCAGCTTTGTGAATAACCCCGTTAGTGTCACAATCAGTACACAGAAGTGATTTACAAAAATTCCACCATGGCTGATCATCTTGTCAAACATCAGGAGCTCACTAAATAAATTGAATGGAGGAGCTCTGGGTTTTGATCATTTCAGTTGCATGGGATGATAGTTTGGAACAGGGCCGTAGGAAGGGCGAGGCGAGTGAGGCACTCGCCTCGGGTGCAGGCTGGGTGGGGGCGCAGCCAGGACACTGGTATTCCGCCAGTAGGGGGGGGCGCCGCGGGCCCGAAGATTTTTTAGTGCGGCCAAAGTTTAAAAAGTGTGCTCTGCCTGCGGCCGCCGTGTCGCGGCTTTCTCACGCTGCCAGCGCCGATCTGAGGAGCCTGAGGTGCCGCAGCTCTCTCACGCTGCCAGTGGTGAGAACTGAAGAGAGGGACTCGGGAGAGCTTCTGCCGGCCAGAGGACGTAGCAAGGGAGGTGTGGCCATGAGGTGACTGAGGGGGGTCCCAAGGTCGAGTGACGAGTCCAGCATAGGCAACCTGAGGTGATCCCTGACGAGAATCGGATCTGACACAGAGGACAGAGAGGGAGAGCTGCAGCCTTCAGGTACTATGCTGTGACAATGACAGTCAGTCAGTATATCACTCCCCTTCTTCTCCATCACTTCTGTACTGTAGAAGTGATGGAAAAGAAGGGGAGCAATATACTTATAGTAATATGTGTGACACCTGTGTACCTGCCTCCACATTATTATCTAATCTATTAGTTTTATCTCTATTATTTAAATTATAGTAAAAATTATGTGGGGGGATGCTCAATGGGGACTGTATGGACTCCATACTGTTCCCATTGAGCATCCCCCCCACATAATGTTTACTATAATTTAAATAATAGAGATAAAAATATTTTTTACAACATCTCTAATTGATGATGTTCCTAACCCCCCCAATATCTCCCCCCACCCGCAAACTACCCCACCTACATCCTTAAGGGCCCAGTCACACCATAAGGAGTGCGTTACAGTGCGTTCAGCCTCTGGAAAGCACTGGAACGCAACCCGGCCGGCTCACTTTGTTTTGGGGCGGGAGGGGGCATGGCAGTGCATTGAAGTCAATGGCACCACAGCCATGCCCCCCACCCACAGTGCTATAGCCGTCACCCGAATGCGTGGCACATCAGTGCCTGCGTTCTGGTCCAGTGCGATCTGCCAAAATGCTGCATGCACTACTTTTTTACAGATCCCACTGGACCGGAACACAGGCACTGATGTGTCATGCATTCGGGTGACGGCGATCGCACTGTGGATGGGGCGCATGGCTGTGGTGCCATTGACTTCAATGCGCAGCCACACCCCCTCCCGCCGCAAAACACAGTAAGCTGGCCGGGTTTCGTTTTAGTGCGTTACAGAGTCCGAACGCACTCTTTATGGTGTGACTGGGCCCTCAGGCTGGGACCCACTGCACGCGAAGCAGTGGCACGCTGCCTTCGCGTGCAGTGTGTCATGTCATTTTGTCTCAGGCACGTCAGCTTGCTAGAGCGCGCATAGCTGAGCGCGCTGAGATTAAAAATTTCATCTTCAACCAATCGACATGCGCGTATAAACCCACGCGTCAAGATGCTAAGGCCATTCGGTTATTACGAGCGAGCCAATTGGCTGACGATGCAATCCTTCATCTGGCCACGCTCAGCTCACACACTGCATGCGAAGCTCCATGCCTGACAGCTTTGCTTTGCTCTGCACGGCTTCACATGTAGTGTGTCACAGGCTTAAAGGAGAATTATAATCTGAGCCGACCTGTGACAATGAAACTGTCACAGGTTGGCTCAATAGATCGGGAAGTAAGCGAACACATACCGCCGCTCGCTCACTTCTTGATCTATCCCTGCAGAGAGCCATAACTGTCACTCACAGCACTCTGCAGGGATTCCCCTCCCCTCTCCGATCCTCCAGCGCTGACTGGCGAAACGGACGGGGAGGGGGCGGGCACAGCTGGCTCTGCCTCTGGATAGGCATAGCCAGCTGTTAATCCCGCAGCTGGGTGTATCCCGAGAGAAGTGTCGGGTCCCTGCAGCGCCTCAGTATACCGCGAGCTGTAGGGTGATGGGAGGACGCTAGTTTGTGTCCTCCCGTTACCCTAAGGAGAACTATGGGGAAAAGCCCTGACCCCATAGTTCTCCTTTAACTACACTGTAAGTTTATTTTTTATGAAGTTATTTATGTTAAGTTACATATCTTTATGTTTCTTATGTTACTGAAATAAACGGTTTAAATATAATTAATTCCTTGTTATTTATTTAGTTTCCGCAAAAAAACATCGGGGGGAGGGTTGGGCACAATTTTCTGTTCTTGCCTCGGGCGCAAAATAGGCTAGCTACAGCTCTGGTTTGTATGATAATATCGATACGCAGTGGCATAACAATCACCATAGCGACCCAGGCGGCCGCTATGGGGCCCGAGGCAATGTTTTTGATAAAGCAATCAATCTTCCATCACTTTCAACAACTTTCAGGATTCCCAGTGTGCTTTGCATCTCTTCCACTATTGTTTGATGTGATGCAATCTTGATTATTTTAGACAACATATCCCATCATGCATTGCTTACAGCAAGCAATGATGATGTTACATTGTTCAGTTGTAATTCAGACGACAGGCTTAGTTAGAGTGGTGACACGAGGAAGTGCATGCACACAGGGCTGAGTGAAATGGTGTCAGTGCATTGAGGAAGTACATCCGATGGGCATCTTCATTTAGTAAGTTGACAAACTTATAGTTGGATATGGTTATTAGGAGCGGGATAGAACTTATGCAAATTCAATATAGAAATATAGATTTATTTTTATTTTTTGACCATACATAATACCCTTTAAGGTTTCTGAGCTCATCTCGGCAATCTTTAAAGTAAATCCCCATTTGACACTATTGATGTAATGTGTACTCACTGGCAACGCACTGCACATTCCCCTTAAACAAAGTGAGGCTTTCTGTTTATCAGCACCGTTGGCAGGCAGAGACTCATTATAGTGGGGGCAGCCTCTGTGCTCTCCCCATCGTCTCTTCAATCTATGGCACTAGCTGACTGAGAGATAAAACAAAGCCCTGGGCAAATCTTGCCTTCTCTTCCTACCATGAGCAATCACAAAGCATCTCTTAGACATATTCAAATGAGCTTTATAATTAGATATCAGCTTGTCAGGCCAGGAGTCAACGTGCAGCCTGATGCATATCAAATTAAAGCTAAACTCCAGGCAGAAAAAAAATATCCAAGTATATTGTACATTCATTAAAGAAGAATTAATACATTGATTTTTTATTGAAACTAGTGTAATACAGTAAACTCCCCATTATACAGCATCCACGGGGATTGGTAGATTCCGGATAAATGTCGTTTTTGGTTGCTTGAGAGTTGCTATTAAAATAGGTCTAACTAATGCCGTACCGCATACTATACCATAACATAAACTCTGTGTTGACTTCATATTAATATTGAAATGCAGTAATCAAAAGCACATTCAAACAAATAGGCACACAATCGTTTCCAGGATAATACATACAGGGGATCAGCAGAACAGTGAGTCACAAGGGATTTTTTTTTTTCTGGTTAGGTGAGAGTTCTGGTTAGTTGAATTCCATATAACAGAAAGTTTACTGTACCTTTATTTGTCTTCCTGTAACCCTGTACAGCAACACTCAGACTGGGAGAGGGAGGGCAGTGCTAGAAGACAATCAGACTTTTCTCTAAGTACTGACAGTGAGCATGCTAACAGGAGGAAACACCGGGAGAGGGAGGGGTGACAGGGGGGAGCCAATCAGGCTATGCTACATGTACTGATAGTGGGCATGCTGACAGGTGCAGGAGCTGGGAGAGGGAGGGGCAGTTTCTAGGAGCCAATCAGACTATGCTACATGTACAGGCAGTGAGCATGCTGCCATGAGGAAAAACTGGGAGAGGGAGGGGTGGCAGGGGGAGCCAATCAGACTATATGTACAGACAGCGAGCATGCTGCCAGGAGGAAAATCTGGGAGAGGGAGGGGCAGCAGGGGGAGCCAATCAGACTATGCTACATGTACAGGCAGTGAGCACATTGACAGGTGCAGAACTGGGAGAGGGAGGGGCAGTACTAGGATCCAATCAGATTATTCTACATGTACAGATAGTGAGCATGCTGACAGGTGCAGAAACATGGAGAAGGGCAATACCAGGAGCCAATCGGACTATGCTACATGTACAGACTACAGAAAGTGAGCATGCTGTCAGGTGCGGAAACTGGGAGAGGGAGGGGCAGCACTAGACGCCAATCAGACTGTGCTACATATATACAGAAAGTGAGTACACTGAGGGGCAGAAACTAAGAGCCAATCAGACTATGCTACATGTACTGACAGTAAACATGCTGACAGGAGGAAAGAGGAGAGTGAGCAGGACAGATAAATGCATCCATGCTCCTTAATTGCCCAATCTGGAGGCTGTGTTGTGTCCCTGGCAAAACTGCAGCTGCAGTAGACGACAAGGACCTGGCTGTGCTACCTGAAAGGGGTCTCTGGTTTAACAATATTACACATTTGTATATATTACATTGCATGGAGCTTAAAGTAGAACCAGTCAGCATTAGACAATCATACAATTAAGGCACACACACCATATGTAAGTAAATGCCATATAATAAGAAAACACTAGTATACATCCAATTAGATCTGGAATCCAATGCACATGTATCGGGCACAAAAATTACTAGGCACGCTAGGCTAGAAAATGAGAAGCAAATTGCAATATTTTGGGGGTATAGCAGCTCTTTTTATAAAACGGAGAAATCATGTGTAATGATGATGATTGTAAAGTAACAACTGTCCACTTTGTGCTAAATGTAAACGATTCAGCAGTTGCTCTGGATCGACCTATTTCGACATCTACGAAACATAATGGGTAAAGCTCTGCAAGGATGCTTACTCTAATCCCGGCAATTTGGAAACCTTCTGGGATGGGGATTGGTTTTCTCAGCAAAGGAGAAGCTTTTCATATATAGAGAACGCAGTGATTACTCCTGAATGAAGTGATATTGATGCCCTCTGCTGTTGAAATGGGTAATCTCCTGTAAGTAATACAGTTTGTGACCATGCTTGTTCACAGCTGCAGGTGACAGAAGAGGACCTTTGGATTCGGAGCTACGGTCGGCTATATCAGAAGCTCTGCTCCACTACCGGGGACATACCTATCGGCATCTTTCGCACCGAAACCCACATGCTGCCAGTTTCAGAGGTATACATTGTTTGGAATGTAAGCTCTCATGAGCAGCGCCCTCCTGTATTGAATTGCATTGTATCTGTACTTTCTCCCATTATTTTGTAAAGTGCAAACTGTTGGAGCTTTATACACCCTGTATAATAACAACTGACCCCTGCCAATTGCTGTACCTCATATACATTTACTGGGGCTTAAAGTGTAGCAACATTTTTTTTCTTATAATTTTGGATTGAATGGGGAAGGGTCACGACGACTGTCACCATTTTGCTTCAGTTATATTTTAGGTCCAATGTACCTATCCTACCAGCAATTAAAGCTCAACCCCTGATTATTATTTTTTTGTATATTTTTAAGTCTTTAACAGTCATGGGCTCGATGTTCGAGTGGAACAACAGTTCCACTCGAACATCGCTAGTTTGTGTGTTCGGCGAACACACGAACTGTCAGTGCGTTCAGCAGGCTGTTCGCCCGCCGAGCGCTCCGCAATTGGGTAGAGCAGGTCAGGTGCAAGACTTTGCCCAATCACGGCACAGGGCTCTAAGAGCCATGATTGGGCAAAGTAATGATGACTTTGCCCAATCATGGCTCACAGCTAAGTCCCAGACCCACACTATATAAGGCTGCTTACATCGCAGCCTTGTGTAGTGTGTTCCTGGAGTTAAATATAGATTGGTTCTGTCTGTAGTGTAGTGTAGTGAAAGCTAACTGGTGTCAGTGCTTTATACAGTATTTAATTCTACATACAGTACTCTGTACTGTATATAGTATTATTTTCCGTGCTGTATATTCGCTGTCTTTTTTGTGTGTGTGTCAGTGGCGTCACTGGTGTTTCTCCTGCCATTGTACAACATGTGGTGCATCAAGCACCATATTCGATAAAGTATTGTACCCAAGCACCAATTTTCCATCCCACAGTCTCTAATAAAATTTTATAATAAGCCCCGCATCATGTCTGAAAGGCCAACAAGAAGACAGGTGTGTGACAGGTATATATAATTTGAGTTTTTAGAGCAGGGCCCAATCCTGCACTGGTCAAGAATAACTGAAGCATTACAGTGTGAAGGCACCTCCAACACTAAAGGCCCAAATTTAAAGCACCTGTTGTAACTTTCATCCAATGTGTGCAAAAGAGACACCAGAATTTATCCAAAAAATCTCTAACCTTGTTCCAAGTGTCCTAAAATGTGTCCTCTTCATCCAGGCTTCCGCCCCACACAGTTGTTTAGAAGATTAAAGGAAAACCAATTAATGTCAATTTAAATGTAATTTTTTTCTTTATAAATGTCAGTTTTGCTGCAGCAGGTTCTATACATCGTACAGATGCGCCACTTTACAGGCAGTTTAAGGGGACCCCCCTGGCACGATGTTTAAAGGAGAACTATGGGGTCAGGGCTTTTCCCCATAGTTCTCCTTAGGGTAACGGGAGGACACAAACTAGCGTCCTCCCGTTACCCTAAGCTCAGTATACTGAGGCGCTGCAGCCGGAGCGGATCCCGACATCGATGTCGAGATCCGCCCAGCTGCGTGAGTGACAGCTGGCTCTGCCTATCTAGAGGCAGAGCCAGCTGTACCCGCCCCCTCCCCCGTCCGTTCCGCCAGTTAGTGCTAGCGGATCGGAGCGGGGAGGGGGGAATCCAGCCCCTCCCCTGTCATGGCAGAGAGCCGTGGCAGGGTCGAGAGGTGAGCGAACGCCGGTATATGTTCGCTCACCTCCCGATCTACTGAGCCGACCTGTGACAGTCTCATTGTCACAGGTCGGCTAGAACTATGAGGTGAGTGAAAAGCACTCACCTCATAGTTCTCCTTTTAAAGGAATTTTTAATTTTTATTGTTTCACTTTAAGTGATGATAAAATCACTGCTCCTCTAAAAACTGTGTTTTTTGCATTGATTCCTGACCCGCAGGGCAGTACCTCGATCCCCTATACACTTTTTGTGCCCAATAACTTGCATATAAGCCTTCAAAATGGGGACATTTGATCTTCCGAGTTCTGCTCCGATAGACTTACATTGAGTTCTTAATGCGAGTTAGAACTTTTTCCATGTTCGAAAGTTCGAGTTAGAACCGAACTCATGTGTTCGGCCCATCACTAGTCTTTAACACACTGACTTGGTTGGAGGTTTTTTTTTTATTCCTTTAGTCCCTTCTCACCATAACTTCTATGGCTAAACTAGCGTGACCCCTGTTTGACATATCTGCCCCATTATATTCCATCTTTCCCTCCCCCCTTAATCCTAGTTTAAATAGTCCTCCAACCCTCCCATGAACCTCTCCCCTAGCACAGCAGCCCCCTTCCATTTAGGTTCAAACCATCTTTAGCATACCCCAATGAAAATCAGCCCAGTGCTCTAGAAACCCAAAGCCTTCCCTCCTACAACAGGTCTTCAGCAATGTGTTTAGTTCTCTAAGCTCCCAGCTGTCTGTCCTGCATTGCGCATGGCACAGGCCATATTCCAGAGAATATTACCTTGAAGGTCCTAAACTTCAGCTTGCAACCTAGTTCTTTAAATTGATTTTTAAGGGTACTCCATATTCCATGTATTCTGTCACTCGTCCCAACATCGACAAAGACAGCTGGGTCATGCCCAGCCCCTCCCAGTAATTTGTACACCCGCTCCACCACATGCCGGACCCTGGCACCAGGGAGACAGCAAAACATCCGGTTGAGGCGATCCGGGCGACAAACTATTCCATCAGTCCTCCGAATTATAGAATCCTCTATTACCACAACCTATCTAGGCCTTCCTGCATTACCCTCACCACCCGGACTAGATGTGCTGCTCTCCCAGCTGTTAGGGGTAGCAGTGACATCTAGGGCTGCCAATTCTGAGTCTGCCACCTGCACATCTTTACCCAACTTATCAAATTTGTTTGGGTGCTCAAACACAGGGCTGGCCTTCCTCTTCTGAGAGCCCCTGCCACTCCCTCTAGCTACAGTAACCCAGCTTCCTACCTGATCATCCTCACTTACCCCTCCACATCTACCCCATTAACTGCCTGCTCAGTGATCGGCAGACCACTCTCAACGTTATCAAGTGTTGCATTCCGCTCTTCATATCTCTATTGTGAGCTTCCAGAAGTGCAATCTGCTCACATCTGCCACAGAGGCATGTGGCACAGTGTGTACTGAACAAACCATACTAACAAACATTATCCCAGTTGCAATGTTTATACAATTGATATGAAAATAAAGATATTACTTACAGTTCTAACTTCAATTGTTCAAACGCCAATTTTTTAACGCCACTTGGCTCACGGGCACTTTGTTCCCAAGCCCTGTGTGAGCATCTGGCTGATGAGGCATAAAGGAATGATAGGCATGGCTCCCCCTGTGATAATGGCACTCAGTCTTACCCTGCATGGGGATTTTTCAGTTTGTGGGATAACAATCTCAGTGCCAGCAGACTGAGAGTGATCATCACTGGGGTTGGTTAACTCCTCAGGTAACCCTTATCTGAACACACATTAGCTACCACCACAGTAACTGAAACATGCACCATTCACAGCAACTGCTGTGACAATTCTGACCATAAGAAATGTCTATGACACTCACTGTACCCCCAGACAGTATTATATAACAAAGTTTAAAATATGGTAGTGTTCGTCAAGAATTCTTTAATTTCTGATTTCAGAGCATCAGAGATAAACAGTAATGATTTTTAAATATTGCTTTAATGATTGAAAGGAAAAATGGTGCAACGAAATATTCACAGAAAAATACATTACAAAAATAGACAAAAATAACAAGAACCGCAAAATAAAATGGGTTTAATGTGAAAAGTACTTAACATAGTTTTCATGATCTTTGGTTTTGACTAGGGATGCACCGATACCACTTTTTAAGGCCGAGTACGAGTACCGATACTTTTTTTCAAGTACTCACCGATACCAATTACCGATACTTTTTCTTAAAGGGACAGGTCACATTTTTTCTAAAGATCTTTTTTTTAATCAATATATGCCGGTAAACAGCATTTTTGTGCCCAGCCCCATGAGGTGTGTCAGTACTAACCTGCTGTGTATTCCAATGGTATTTTGGGCTCTAGTTCACACAAGAGCGTTCAGTTCCAGAGCATGTGGGAAAACTGCAGCATGCCCTATTTTTTCTGCTCCGGAACTCACCTAAACGCACATCAAAATCGCATGCAAACGCCCTGGAACGCACTGAAAGCCTATTGTAGGCTAAAAAAAAATTACAACGGGCCGGAACGTGGCAAAAATGCAGCAAAACATACTGCACTGCATGTGCAGAAACTCTTGCAGATCTGGTCCGCATTTGGTGTGAACAAGCCCTAAGGGGTGTTGAGCAGGAGGCCTAAAGAGGACATTATATTTCTGTCGATGCTCCATCCAGGCCAGATTTCTACATGCATCCATACTTTCAGCTGGCCAGGACTTTCAGTACAACAAGCAACATAATGATGACTAGAATGAAATCACCATTTGAAAGAGACTAGACTTGCTATACATCAGTTATACAGATCTCCCGTGTCATTTAATGTGACTTCTCTGCATGATAGCCTTGTGATGTTTTATCTTGAAATGTTCGGTATTTTCCTTCAGATTTGTGTAAGCACTTGTTAATAATGTAATTTTATCTGATCGTAAGTTATGAAGTATAACTGGTTTTGGAGAGCTGAGTTGAATGAACATTCACTTTCAGATCAGATGAAGCCAGGCATCAAATGTGGATTGATTCTAAATGGCATTATGATGGCTATTAGCTATCATAATACCTTTCTATTGGAGCCGTCAAGCAACTGATAGGGCACCTTTGCGCTATTCACTGTACGTATTTAAACATTGCACACACATTAAATTCATACAGCGTACAGAGAACTTTTTATGCAGGATTCTCTCCACTAGCGAGGATAAATTACTTACAGAGTTATAGTCAAGCTAACTGACACATGCCGCGCTTCGAAACCTGGCCTGAACATTAGGCTCCAGTGACCTGTGGGCACGAAACGGTTAAAAAAAGAAAAAAAGATCACCCACCAAAGTGAATAAAAAGGTAAAAAGTAATTCACAAAGGCGGTTCTATGTTTGCTGCTTCTGCTTTTCACTGGAAAATCATGCATAAGCGGCAAGGTTCCCTAAAAGGTTAACTGTGCGTTTCATTCTAGTAATTGGAGCACAATAATCTGTGAGATTCTCCTACTCTGACTGGATTGATACTTATGTTATAGGACAGATAGTACCAGTCCAGCTAACAGTGTTAGATCAACTGAATGAATAAATGAACCAATTTTCATGTGCATAAATGGGCCCAGGGACATTTTAATCGGTATGTTGTTGAGTATTTTAAGACAAAATAATGTGAAAACACATGCAGTTCATCTCTGCAATACGGTCACATTTCCCTTTGCTTTATCCCTTTTGCTTCATCCCTTTAAAGACCCTGCAAGTCCATAAAAAGTGGTGTCAGTCCTGCCCATTGTTTTTAGCTAAACTACTCAAGCACTTGCACTCTCAAATCTCCACAACAACCATTCTGAAGTCCAAGATAAGAACTAGGAGAACTCTTTTAGGTAACACGGGAAATTTGGAGAGGATGCAGGACAGTTCCGAATTTCTGATAAGATCAACAGTTGTTTTTTTTTTCTCTTATTGAACACATAATGCTTCCAATGTTGTATTAAACAGGCCAAAAAGGAGCAATGTGGAGGAGTTCATTGTTAAGGTTCACATAGATTTTGTCTCTTTCCTGTTTGTTTGTGTGCATGCATGATTTCGTGGGAGTTGATCTTGCTGCTGAATGCCTTGGCGTAGCAGTGAGATTGAAGTCCCACACAAAATACTCCCATACATCAATCTTCTCTATGATTGCAGTCACAGGTCTCCATAAGTGTGGAGGACTATGAAGACACAAGGGAGACTCGTTGGGGAGACACAATCCAAAGCCGAGGCCCACACCGCAACTCAACCTCTAGTGACCAGTCTGAGCACCCATTGCTGCGCCGAAAGAGCATGCAATGGGCCAGGAGGCTAAGTCGCAAAGGAGCAAAGCAACCTGGGAAATCAGCTTCTGAAAGGATTAGCCAGCAGAGAATGAGCCTCTACAGGCGGTCAGAGCGCCAGGAGCTCAACGCTTTGGTGAAGACCAGAATGAAGCATTTGGGCCTTTCCACAGCACAGTACAGTAAGAGAGACAAATATTTGCAATAGCTGTACATACTGTGACTGAATGCAAAAGTGCGACAAGGAGTGTGATGCTCCCATCCCAGGGATAAGTTGACCATATGTGTTTCAATCTGATTATACAAGTTCTACACATTCTTATGCAAGGTTCACCAAAACTGTCCTCTGTAAGAGCATATCTATACAATTTGTATCCAATCAGGCAGTTTTTATGGCCAGTTTTAGACAGGATATAGGATGAAGCTATGTTACATGGAGCCTGTCCCTCCCACCATAGGGTGACACAGATAGGAGGCGCTATGAGAGATGGAGTCTTCCCTTCACACCATAAGGTGACACAGACAGGGGGAGCAATGTGACATGGGGTCTGTCCCGCATACCACAGAGTGGAACAGTCAGGGGGAGCTATGTGTCAGGGGGAGCTATATGTCACCTTCCCACCATGGGGTGACACAGATAGGAGGAGCTATGAGAGATGGAGTCTGTCCCTCACACCACAGGGTGACGCAGACAGGAGGAGTTATTTGACATACATGAAGGAATCATTTACTCTAAGTTCAATATGATGGTGAAAGGATAGTAAATAGAGTATGGTAGAATGTACACATTTCTAACTTGTGTTTGTTTTTTTCTTGTAGTGGACATTATGGACACAGACAATTCACTATCTTATATTCTAATAAATCCGCCCCCGGATACCAAGCTGGAACTTAATGATGTTGTGTAAGTCTGGGGATCTTCTCTTGGTTCATCACTGTGCAGTTTATTTTTAGGTTTTAGATCTGTATATCCTAGCATTGGGAGATGCTGTGTTCCAGGTCCTGTTTCAGAGTTTCTGAAGTAAGGGATAGAGGCCATTTGGTTATCCATTCAGGAGAAAGAGGACCCCAACATAAATGCTGACCAACCATGCTGCCCGCTATTAATGCGGCATGAAGCAAACACTTCAATGAGTGTTGGCGTGTACCAGGCTAATCAGTCCAATACACTTTCCATACACTGGGATGCCGTGGGCTGTGCCCTGAGCACATGTCAGACCTTAGGGATCAGAGAAACCAAGTTCAGACGTTCATATTAGGAAACATTACGGAATAGCAGAAGAAGACACAAACTTGACTTCACTAGCTTGTAGCTTCCCACATACTTTCTAGCATTTGGTGGTTCTTGTTCTTGCATTCCGTGACCTCTAGTGTTTTTGTGCTTCTATGTCCCTGATGTCTAGAATTTTTTTTTTTGTGCCCCTATCACCCTGATGTGTAACATAGTGTGAAAGCCTACACCAGCTTCCTAGCAGTTTATAAATGGGCGGTATGGTTAATGTGTGCATTTGTGGTTCAATGTTTCCTACATAATCCATTATTCAGACTTCAGATGCTGGACAACTTAGCTGCAAGCAAATACAACTGTGTAAAATCAATCCATGTAGTAAAGTCATTTTCACTCTGTCAGAGAGTTTCTACTATATTCCTTGATTGTACAGAACAGGACACAGGCAGATTCAGAAACAACTGGGTAATATACAGGTATCATCAGGTGATTGGACACTAGCCGGAGCTGTGAGGACCCTCATATACCCCTCCCACTCCTGGAAATCCTAAGTTTCTTGCTAGTGTGCTTAGATGATGGTTGTCTCCTCTCTACTGAGGAAGATGTGTGTTAGTTTAGTTACCTTTTTTATTACGTTTTCTCAATCAAGATTGTTTTGGCTGTGGCTGCTATGACAACAATTTTCCAGCTTCATTTGGTTCCCACCTTGGAACTTGGTGCAACTTGTTGGGTTAGTCACGTACTGCTATATAGGTCCAGGTCAATGGCATATCCACAACAGTGTGACGCCATCGCTGATGACCTCTTTGGAGTTATGCTCATCCTTCCGTCCTTTTATAGCTCCTGAATCATCCTAAAATATCCCTCCTATGTTTTTATGTGGTTAGAGCTGTCTGAGTTAATCTCTCAGCTACAGCTTCATTCAGAGAGTTGGATTGTCTGTTCTTCCTTCCTGAAGGACCTTGCAAGGGACTCCCTGCCTCTTGTTCCACCATCTTGAGGTGGATTAGACAGGTAATTGCACATGCCTATTCTGTAGCAGGATAAGGCTCAGCCTTTTTCTTTGAAGGCACGATCCACTAGATCTGTCAGGTGCTTCTTGGGCGTTCAAGCATCCACGTTGCAGATTTGTAAGGCTGGCACCTGGTTTTCTGTTCATACATTCACTTTAAGGCTATAACCCCTCCCACTTCACACCTAACACTTTGGCTTAGTGTCCTCAGGAGAATAGATGTGTCCTTCTCTTCTGCTTCATTATTTTAGTTTATTTTGTTTCTCTGCTGAAATTCTACTACTAAGACTACTCCATGCAGGCGGATAATATTAAATCCTGGGAGTTTCTCTAGCTAGTCATCCTCAGAAAACAGAATGTTTCTGGTCTCAGTACCTAAGCTTCGTTCTGTGATGGACCGGAGTTCTCATGGTCATTACATCAGTTATTGGTTTAGGCTAGTATTATCTGGGGATTCCTACAGTGGCGAAGGGAACAGGGCAATGGAGTTCTATGTAGTGTGAACTGAACTCATTCTTAACAAGGCATATTGCACCTAAAAAAGCATCCAGAGTAAGCTTAATGCATCTGGTGTGAATGCAACTAATGTAAGGGGGCACTCTGATCAGGCCAACTAATAATTATTGGCTCCCATCAGAGTCCCCCCTTAAATTGGTTCTCCCCATCAGAGTGCTCCCTTTTGTAATTAATGTGCACTTTGATGGGGACATCCAATGTAAGGGGAAACTGACGTGGACAACCAATGTAAGGGGGCACCCTGCTGGGGACAACTAATTATTAGTTGCCCCGATGAGAGTGCCCCCTTACATTAGTTTGGCTCAGTTCACACCATCACATTGTGGTTGTGTGTGCTAAAAATAAGTACTGGAAGCACATCACAACATTTGATTACACACACTAGTGGTCCTAGCAACCAATGACTGAAGTGGAAGGGAGCCTTCGCTGGCTTATGGTTGGCAGTGGATAGGTGCATCCACTGTCATCCAGCCATAATCCAGTGCAGGTTGGAGATTGCGGTTCTGACAGGACCGCCACTCGGTCTGTGTCCAAACCGCGGCCCACCCTTGATATATATTATACGATGGGTATGGGATTACTTTGTGATGTTTAATTTAAACTCTCTCCTTAATGGTTTTGGAGTTTATTTAAAATTCCCACCGCCTCGTTAAGAAGTGGGATCGTAGACTTGTTGAAATTGATGAAAATGACTTGATGAAAATTCTTCAAACCTCTACTGTGCATGTGCGAGCACGTGCAGCAGCCATTTTGAGTTTCTGAGCCGGCATAGCTATTACAGGCACTGGACGACTCGGTTTGAAATCTGCTGGAGTGCGACGACTGGTGCACTCTTTCTCTGCCGTTTTTTTTTTGGGGGGGGGACAATTTTTTCAGCGACAAAGCCACTTCACTTATTATATTGGATTCTGCAATTTCTTACCTTACACAGGTTGGGGGCAGTGAATAGTGTGTGGGAAGTCTGTGGTGATTGCACTGTTGATGTCTGCTTCTAGGCTGAGGGGTGAAAGAGCTGCGACTACTGATGAATCATCACCTTTGCTTATTTTTGTAGTATTTGTAAAGCGGAGACTTCTTCTGGTGGAGGGTGTATAGCTTGTACTGCTGTTAATACAATGTCTGTTTCTAATAATGCATCTGCTGCTTTGTCAAGTGATTCTTCACCTATTCTTACAAAAGCTGAATTTTCTTCTACTGTGAAAAATATTTGATCTCCTTTTATGGTTGAATCTGTATTTATTGTATAACAGCAAGAGTACAGACAATCATGGACAACAAGAAAAGGGATCTTGTTAACGTTGAAACAGCTGACAGTGCGGCGATTAACAAACAAATGCGCTACAACCGTGGTGATGTAGGAATAAAATAAAACCGTCCAGAGGGGTCTGGAGACCACACGAAGTCCAGGAATGCAATGTCCACACGAAGTGCAGGAATGGATGCAGAATGTCTCGGCAAAATTACTTCCGTCACCATCAGAAGCATAACACTAGGCATCAACTGATATCCCATGTGAATGGTATAAATCTAAAAACATGATGATTGAATAGAGAAGAAGAGAAGATAAAGCGTGAAAAGAAAACGGGAAGGTTTTAGAAAAGGAAAACAGGAGAAAAAAGGGAAGTAGGAGAGGGGTCCCGGGGGACATTTTTGGCAAATAATATCAATACTAGGTTGAGATCAAGAGGACAAAACAACGACTAAGGAAGATCACAATTATTATTATATTTTAATTACACAGGATGTATATAGCGCCAACAGTTTGTGCAGCGCTATACAATATAAGGAAGATATTACAATCACAATACAATTCAAGACAAGATGGTAAGGAGGGCCCTGCCCCTGAGGGCTTACAATCTAAAAGGGAGGGGCCAGTGATACATGAGCATAAAATGAGCATGAAAAGTTGAAAAATGAATCCAAACAGCCCAAAGATTATAAAAGGCCTCATACTTGTCAGAAGCAATGGCTAAAATTTTCTCTGCGTGCATAACGTCATCCATTATGTTAACCAAGTGGGAAATGGTGGGAACAACTGTCGTCTTCCAAAAGGCGGGGATGACTTACAGGCTATTTTATCTCCTTTAGAGAGTCCCTTTTCATAAGGGTAAAAAACATTGCACTTCTGCTTTGTCTGAGGAAGAAATGCCTGAGATTTCTGCAACTGCTGGTGCTTTTCCAGAAGATTCTATGTCTGATGGTGACTTAGTTTCTTCTGATGACGACGGGACTGCCCAGGTTGATTTTCAGCATCAGAAAGAATTGTTTACCTTTTTAATTGAGGCTGTGTGTTCCTCTCTAAAATTAGAGGATTCTGCTGTTGTTTCTACTTCTATGATCGTATAAACCTGAGTGTGCCTACAAGATTTTTCCTCTTCATCCTAATTGTTGATAGGTTTCTATATAAAGATTGTGAATTCCCAGATAAGCTATTTCTGGTTCCTAAATGCTTTAAGTTCCTGTATTCTTTTCCGGAAATAATTTTTTTTTGAATGGTCTTTTTCTCCTAAAGTTGATCCTTTAATTTCTCATCTTAACAAGGCGTTAACTATTCCTATTAATGATTCTCCTTCATTTGAGGATTATACTGACAAAAAAAAAATCAAGGTTCGGGTAACCGTGGCAACGCATTTAGAGGCTGTTTGTCTCTTTCTCAAGCCTCAGCGATGGGTTAATAGCTCCCCTTCCATTATCTCTACAGCTCATTTTCTTATGATTGTATTCAAGAGCGCCACACCAAAGAGAGGTGGTTTCCACAGGTTACAAACTAGAGTTTCATTCTCCTCCTCCTTGGCTCTTTGCATCTTAGCTTCCCATGTCTTGGCAGCTTTCCCATGTCTCGGCAGCATTCCTTTGACACAATGTTTTCAAGGTTTTTACTCAAACCTTATTTATGGTTCTCAAACCCAACGGGGGGCCTTTGTTTTGATTCTGGATTTGAAAGCGCTCAATGCGTTTGTACCTATTCAAAAATTCTGTATGGAATCCATTTGGTCGGTTGTCGCTTCTTTTCAACAAGGAGATTTTTTGATTTCCATCGACATAAAGGTTGTATATTTAAACATTCCTGTTTTTCCAGGTCATTAGCATTTTCTTTGCTTTGCTGTAGGCGATCTCTATTATCAATTTGTGGCTCTTCCCTTGAGTCTAAC